GAAAGGTAAAAGAGGGGGTAGCGGGGGAGAAAGACAAGAACGGGGATCACGGGCTGCTAACAATGGCAAATGGCACACTTGCATCTTGACAAGCCATCAAATGTAACATAAATAGGAAGATAGTGATGTGCCATAAAGTCTGAATTCTTTTCTTCTTAATAAGGCTATGCTTCAGAACATCCTAAAATCTAGCATCTTCAACAGACTTCTAATCTAACCCAGTTCTTGGACCTTTTCTTCTCCTCTATAATCCATTTTTTTACAAGTCTGCAAATGATATCATGTCACTCCCTTGCTTAAAAACTTTCACGACTCCTGACTGCCTACTGAGTAAAGATTTTAAATTAAATTATGATGCAGCTGTCGGAAATAGTAGATTGAGACTCATACAAAGTTCCTATTCTCCAAATGAAAAAAAGGGAAAAACTGCCTGTTTTTTGGCTCTTGTGTCAAGAGGTAAGCAAGTAAACCACTGAACCAGTTTAAACCTGTCTCAATCAAGCGGTACCTTCTTTGCTCTAATAGCCAGGCTTCTGAAAGTGAGCCAATCAGGATAGTCTCGTGATTCTGCAAGGCAGCCAATCAACCACAGTCTCATTCCAGTAATCATCACTCCTGCTTCTGACAGTCTGTTAATCTCTATATATCACAGCTAAAAGTGAGCCAATCTGTATAACATTTCCAGTTTTGAAAATATGCCAATCCCTGAAATCCACACTTCTCAAAACCCTATATGTAAGTTCTGCTTTGTTCAGAGAGACTGTCTTTTGTAAGTACCATTCTCTTTTGCTTTACCAAGTAGTAAATTCAGCTTAGTTGTTCCACATAGTAGAGTGGTAGTCTCTTCCTCTAACAGTTGAAGGCTCCACTAAGATAATTTTAAGGACCCCTACTTGAAGGGCTTCTGAGAGACTCTTGGACAAACAAGTGTGCTCACTGAGCCTTTCTGGTATGCAATTTGATCACTCTCTGCTGGGGGATGTTGGTATCAAAAAGGATCTGAGCTCTGACTTGTTTCACTGAACTCTCACTGCTGAATTTACTTTGTATTCCTAAGATTTGTAAGTATATAGATTTTAAAAAACAGATAAAACTCATATCTTATAAAATTCACCATCTTAACCATTTTTAAGTGTAAAACTCAGTGAATTTGGATATCATATACATCTTTATATAAAGTAATTAAGAGTTTTTGGCTGTTTTTGGTATATCATTTGGTAAATAGTTCTGCAGAAATCTACTTACTCTTCTAATAAAAATTTTTTTGCAACAACTTTATTGAGATAAAGTTTCCATACCATAAAACCCACCCATTTAAAGTATATATTGCAATAGTTTATAGTACATTCACAGATATGTGCAACTATAATGATAGTCAATTTTAGAACGTTTTTAACTCCTCCAAAAGAAATCCTGTATCCTTTAGCTATTGCTCCCCTATCTCTTATTTCCTGCAGCTCTGGCAGCCACTAATCTACTTTCTCTATATATAGATTTATCTATTCTGAACATTTAATATAAATAGAATCACACAATATGTGTTTTTTTGTGAGGTTCATCCATGTTGTAACACATATGACTATTTCATTTTCTTTTTTTTTTTCAGCCAAATAACATTCTATTGTATGGATATATCACATTTTGCTTATCCATGTGTCAGTTGATAGGCATTTGGGTTGTTTCAACCTTTTGGCTAATATGAATAATGTTGCAACATACATTAGTGTACAAGTTTTTGTGTAGATATATGTTTTCATTTCTCTTGAGTATATACCTAGGACTGGAATTACTTGGTCATAAAGTAATGCTATGTTTAACCATTTGGGGGAAATGTCAAATTGTTTTCCAAAGTAGCTGTCTCATTTGACAATCCCACCTGCAGAGTAGAGGGTTACCAATTCTCACATCCTGGCAAACACTTGTTAATGTCTTCCTTTTTGATTCTAGCCATTCTAGCGAGTGTAAAGTGGTCTCTCATTGTGGTTTTGATTTGTATTTCTCTGATGACTAATGATGTCAAGCATCTTTTCATGGGCTAATTGATCATTTGTATATCTTCTTTGGAGAAATGTCTACTCAGATCTTTTGCTCATTTTAAAATTGGGCTGTCTTTTAATTTTGTCTTTGTCTTTTAATTCTAAGAGTTTTTATATACCCTAAATAAAAGTTCCATATCATATACATACTTTGATAGTATCTATTGAAGCACAAAAGTTTTAAATTTTGATCAAATCCAATTTATCTATTGCTTGGGCTTTTGGTATCATATCTAAGGCATTAATCCATCCAAGGTCACAAAGATTTACCTTTATGGTTTCTTCTAAGAGTTTTATAGTTTTAGCTGTTATATTTAGGTGTTTGATAATTTTGAGTTAATTTTGGTATGTGGTGTGAGGTAGGATCCAACTTCATTCTTTTGCATGTGGATATCCTGATGTCTCAGCACCATCCTAGTATGCATTTTAAATTAATATAGGCAATGAAATGTTTAAAGAAAAAAACAAAAAACCTTTTCTTGGAAATTATAAATGTAAGCCATTTACCTACAGAAGCAGAGAAACAGAGGAGGGAGGGAGGGGAACAAAGAGAAAGAAGTAGGGTTTATTCTATTTCTCAATACCAAGTAATTTAGTTTTCATAAAATTTATTTTTGTCAGTGCTTTGCCAGACTGATGAACCTGGCTGATGAACACGGTATTTGCAAACTTAAAAGATTTAGACTGCAGTCTCAGAATAAACATTGCTATCTTTCCTTAGAGTTCTGCCTGTTTATATTTTAAAACTGTTTAAAAGCAGAATTTTCCAGTGTTTTCAAACGAATTTTGATGGTTTGCCAATGGATTAACATTCTGCAGAGCATAGCTCTCTGTAACTTGATGGCATTCTGGATACAACTTGGCCAAATCATTTTTAGAACTTATAGACACAGAGCATTTTTAAATGATCTTTTGAAAAGCCAAATCCTTTAGAATACATAATATTGGTGTATTAGCAATGTCAGTTAACTGACTTTAATATAAAATTTAACATAAGCATATTCAAGTGTCAAGCCATAGTTGAGTTTATGAAACTTTAATCATAAAGTCTGTAAATCTAATTTGGGCTTAATTAACTTATCTTTAAAAATATCATTTCACTAAGGATAAGGACTGTGTGTCTGTCGTAACTCTATTATTTAGGACACTGTCTTGCATATATAGTAGGAAATGAATAATGGTAGATTATGGTATTCTCTACTCTCAATTACTTGTAGTATCTTAAAAAAACTACTCCAAACAACTTTTATTATATGTACTAGGAACTATACTATTTCATTTAATCTACACAACAATTCTGGAGATAAATATCGTAAACTCCATTTTATAGATGAAAAAATGATTTAACCAAGGTTATATTAATTGCGGTAAATTTTTTCCCTCAGTAAATCATGCCTTCTGGTGTCCATGTAGCACCCCTCACCCCCAACATTGATTCTGGGCTTATCCATGTGATTTGTTTTGGCCAATGAGACATATGCAAACTTGATGGAAGCAGAGGTTTGATAAGTAGTATTAGAACTTGATTTTTTAGAATGTGCCTCCATCATGTGAGGAAGCCCAGTTTAGCCTATTTGAGGAAGAAAGACCTTATGGAAAAAAGGCCTAGCCCTCTGGCAGACTCTCTAGCTAAATGCAGCTCCTTGAGGAATCTCATGTAAAACTTGCAAACGAAATGCAGACAACACCCAGAATGGTGAGAGATAATAAATCATTGTTATTTTTGCCTTAAAGTTGGGTGTTTTTTTGTTTTCGTTTTTAAGGCAGCAATAGATTATGGTGTTTGAATATTTTAAGTTCGAAACATGTGGGGATTTTCTAGGTATCTTTCTATTACTGAATTTTAATTTAATACGGATGGATCAGAAAACATATTCTCCATAATATCAATTCTTTTAAACTTACTGACACTGCTTTATGATTTAGTATTTGGTCTTACTGAATACTCCATGGGTACTTTTTTTTTGGTAAATTTAGCATTAATTATTCCTTGAAAGATTAGAACTCAATAGTGAAGCCAGGGGTTTTCCTCACAATAATATTAAAAAAAAAAACAAACACAACTGTTTTTATTTCTCTAATGGGAATAAGACTATTTAGATAGTTTATGGTTCCTAAGTCTGTTTTAGTAAGTGATATTTTTCTATTAATTTGTCCAATTTATCAAAGTGTCCAATTTATTGGCTTGACGTCCATAATATCTTCTATCATTTTAGTATCTATAATATCTGTACTTACGTACTCCTAATTCTGGAATTAATTATTTGTGCCTTTTCTTTTTCCTTGTTTTTTTTTTTTTTGCCAGAGTTGGTGAATTTTATTATACTTTTCAAAGTTGCAAATTTTGACTTGCTGAGCAATGTGAAATTGGACTGCAAATACTCATGAGAGCTGATTCATAGTAGATGGATAAACATATTCCACATGTACTTTAAAAGGACATATATTCTAATCTTGTGGGGTGGAGTGTTCTATAAATGACAATTAGATAAAGTTGGTTGATAGTGTTGTTCAATTTTCTATATTCTAACTGATTATCTAGCTCCTTATTCTATCAATCACTGAAAGAAATGTTGAAATATCCTTTTAGTTCTGTCAGATTTTGCTTCATGTATTTTATAGTTCTATTAGTAGTTACATACACATCTAGGATTGTTATGTTTTCTTGATGAACTGCCCTTATTTTAAATCATTATGAATTATCCCTCTTGTTCTGTAGCCTATTTTGTGTGATATTAATATAATCACTCCAATTTTTAATGAATAGAGTAACGGCTGAAATTTCTGCCCCGTTTTTTGTTT